AGTATAAAAACATTACCCTGACACTCTCCACCCATATTGAGTATAAAAACATTACCCTGACATCCTCCGCCCATATTGAGTATAAAACCATTACCCTGACACCCTCCACACAACTTGAGTATAAAAACATTATCCTGACACCCTCCGCACAACTTGAGTATAAAAACATTCTCCAGACACCCTCCACACAACTTGAGTATAAAAACATTACCCGGACACCCTCGGTATATTGAGCACTCTCTACCCATCTTAAGTATAAAACACTACCCTGTCACACTCCAACTGTAAAACTATTTATAATTCATAACAAAATAGCCAGGCTCTATTCTATTTACCAGACACACAACTAAACTATGTGATACTGGCAAACACTTTACATATTGGACATATTCTATTGGACTGACTATATCTATTCGGAACAATTATCTACTTACTGCAGTTCTAACCATTGGTACTTCGGCATTAAGCGGGACCATTACTGGCTCTGGGCCTCCACTACTTCTTCTCCCACCTCCTTCGGCGGCAGCGGCGGCGGCGGCAGCGCACATTTGGCGATGATGTTCTGCTGCCTTGACGATCTGTTGGTTCCGGTTCTTCCTCATGGTGATGCGCTTTGATAAATAGCCGACTGTGGCGTACTCTAGCAGGGAGGCAAAGACCATCACGAAACAAGTCCCCAAGAAAACGTCGATACTCTTTACGTAGGATATCTTAGGCAGAGCTGCGTTCGTGCTGGACATCAGTGTGGTCATCGTGAGGACGGTGGTCACTCCGAGGGCCACGCGGGCGGGAGTGGCATTCCTGTGAAGCCAGAAGGAGACCCACGAGATGACCACAATGAGACTAGCTGGGATGTAGATCTGAATCAGGTAGTAGCCCATACTGCGAACAAACTGGATTTCCAGCGCCAGTCGGGAGTAGTTTCCTAGCAAAACACAAGATGTCACCACAGGTACATCGACAGTTAAACTAATTTAAACTGTTTACATTGGGCAGATTTCTAAATATGATGGCATTCGAAACAACAAATAGAATGTGTTTGACAAGTATTACCAAAAGGAAAAAAAAGAATCAGTCCGTGAGTAACTTTTTTGTGCTCTTCTTAAGGGAAGAAATTCATATCTGTGGAGTTTTGAAGAAATCAACTGTTTTACTGCATGCGAAAGGGTTGGAATAAAGACTCAATATTCTGGAGTTGAACCTATCTGTAATACATGACAAAGACCGGCTTACAGTACAGAAACCAGTTTACAGAAAAACTTGTGATTCAATACAGAAACCCGTTTACAGAAAAACTTGTGATTCAATAGAGAAACCAGTTTACAGAAAACTTGTGATTCGGTACAAAAACAAGTTTACAGAAAAACTAGTGATTCAGTACAGAAACCAGTTTACAGAAAAACGTGTGATTCAATACAGAAACCAGTTTACAGAAAAACTTGTGATTCAGTACAAAAAAAGTTTACAGAAAAACTAGTGATTCAGTACAGAAACCAGTTTACAGGAAAACTAGTGATTCAGTACAGAAACCAGTTTACAGGAAAACTTGTGATTTAATACAGAAACCAGTTTACAAAAAACTGGTGATGTGGTACAGAAATCGGTTTATAGAAAAACTGGTGATTCAGTACAGAAACCGGTTTACAGAAAAACTAGTGAATCAGTACAGAGTCTGGTTTACAGAAAAACTAAATTTTGGTATTGTTTGGCATTTCGCCAGTAATGTGATGTCACTGGAAACTGAGGAGGGTATGTATCAGTCCTTTCTGACATAAAATATTCATACACTCAAGTCGTTCCCCTACCGTACTTATCGGAGTGTGACGTATTTTAAAAAGTGAGGATCCATGAACGCGGTGACTATAGCCGTCCATGTACCCCAGGAAACAGAATACAGCATATAGAATCAAAAAGTATATTCGTCTAGAAAAGCACACAGGTCACGTGAACACAACTTGCTTCAACCATATATCCGTTCAACCATCGCGTATCTCAAGCAGATGAAGAATGCAACGTGTATCTATGCTATTCCACAATAATACATACCGGTCAAGTGTCATTGCACTGAAGAAACAGGCGCTGGGAAGCTGTCATCCTCGTATAGTATGTGGCTTATGGAAAGCCTTCAGAGAAGAGGGATGTGCTTTGGACGTGACAGTATTACGACAATGGATACTATAATGCAGGGCTATTGTCAAAATGCACGGTCGTCAGATAGAGGATGACTAGACTGTAATGACTTAATTAGGCTGCAAATCGTTTTGATAACAACGTACTCAACCTCTATATATAGATAGATGGATAAGAATATATATAAGCAGGTCATAATATAACTTCCTGTTACCTCTGTTACATGAATATCATTGCATAAATGAAAACACTATTAGTTATGTCTTGAATCTTTAGCCTAACGAGTTTGTTCGCTGTTTTCTTCCTTATGTAGTCAGTCTTGAATTTCATAAAACTTTATAAACGTTTATCCTTTTAACCTTCAAATATAGGACTGTATACTACACGTTAACCTTCAAATATAGGACTGCGTATTGGTTAACGTGTAATATGCAGTCCTATATTTGAAGGTTAACGTGTAATATGTAGTCCTATAGTTGAAGGTTAACGTGTAATATGCAGTCCTATATTTGAAGGTTAACGTGTAATATGCAGTCCTATAGTTGAAGGTTAACGTGTAATATGCAGTCCTATAGTTGAAGGTTAACGTGTAATATGCAGTCCTATATTAGAAGGTTAACGTGTAATATGTAGTCCTATAGTTGAAGGTTAAAGTGTAATATACAGTCCTATATTTGAAGGTTAACGTGTAATATGTAGTCCTATAGTTGAAGGTTAACGTGTAATATGTAGTCCTATAGTTGAAGGTTAACGTGTTTTAAATATAGGACTGCATATTACACGTTAACCTTCAAACATAGGACTGCATATTACACGTTAATCTTCAACTATAGGACTACATATTACACGTTAACCTTCAAATATAGGACTGCATATTACACGTTAACCTTCAACTATGGGACTACATATTACACGTTAACCTTCAAATATAGGACTGTATATTACACGTTAACCTTCAAATATAGGACTGCATATTACGTGTTAACCTTCTGAAAAAAAGACATCATATTACGTGTTTACCTTTTGATAGAAGACATCATATTACGTGTTAGCCTTAAATTATAGTACTTCATATTACGTGTTAACCTTCTGAAAAAGGACATCATATTACGTGTTTACCTGCAACTTTAAGATGTTTGTTCAGACTTTAGTTCTATTTATATCAGGTAATTGTTAAACTTACCTGTAGTCAGAACCACTTCCTTGCAGCTTTGTTTGTGGCCTGCAAC